CCCACAATGCTGCAGATTTACCCAGACCCTGAGTTCAAATCCCAGGCCTGGCAGAGAAAATGGCATCAATTCCAAGCCAAGGAGCCTCATAATTTTTAAATATTTAATGTATTTATTTATGTATTTATTTTTCTTTTGTCAAGCACAGGGCTTGAACTCAAGTCGTGGCAACTCTGCCTGAGCTTCAATCACTCTAGGCTGGGGTGCAGCCACTGGACCCACAGCTGAACCTGGGTTCCTAGGCCCCAAAGACTGACAGGAATAAAAATAAATAAAAGACATAGATAAAAATCCAGCAACTTGCAGATGCCTGCCGGTTTTACATTTGTTTTCTTTGCATGGTGACCATCCTAGGTCTGTGTTGGGAGCCAACAGTAAAGTTTAAAGGTCTTCTTGACCCCGGTGCTCACTTGAAGGCACTTACAAGGAACTGGCTTATTTAAAAAACACCAGGTGCCCGGGATTGCTTTGCTATGTCTGCAGGGTTTGTTTTACTTTCTACCAGTTGACCTTGTCCTGTTTTTACTGCACTCTGTTTTTACTGAAATTTTTCTTGTTTTTCTGGACTATTGTAACCTTATGTTACCTCTTGACTTCTAATAGTATATATTAGGGAAAGTTAAAAATAAACGGTGCTGCAGTCTTGAGCTGCAGACCTCCCGACCCCATCCTTTGTCTTATGTCTTTATTTTTCCGCATCATTGCCCCCTAAGTCAGGATTTCCTTTCGTTGCCCGCAGGCTCTGGCAGGTCAGAATGGCATGGTTGAAAAGTGTTGGTAACCTGGCATTGCTGAAGGCTGGTGGCTACCAGGGAAGCCATAGGCCAACACGGCCACATAGGCCTTGTGTTCAAATCCCAGTCCTGACCCCTACCAATGGAAGGAGAGCCTAAGAGTCTCATTCCTATTCATAGGAATACCGATGGAAGGTTATGAATGTCAAGGTTGAATTAGTTGTTCCTGAATGATACTACTATAAAATTAAACAGAGTGATTTTAGGAGGCCGATGGGTTTTAATGAATATTTTTGACACATTAAAAGCATACTATTAATTAATGGATGCAATAATTTTGGGACAGTGGTTGATTTAATTAATAATTCATTGAGGATGAAAACAATAATATTAGTTACATGGGGGCATAATAAATACCCAAGAATTGGTAGGAATTTATTCCATATAACTGAAGAATGGATAGACATCTCTAGCACTCTTATAAAGATCTATATTTATTTGTTTACTGCCATCTGCATATCAATCAGTTCTTATTTTGTTAACCCCTGGGGCTCGATCTCAGGTGTTGGGAACTGCTTGTCAGCTCTATATGCCCCAGACTGGTGTGCTGCCACTCACCCATTCATGAATTGGGCCTTGTAGGCTGTGAGTTCAGATGCCAGCACTCACAAAAATTGAATCGGGCAGTAAGAAACCCATGGTGACACATGTTTTCCTTTTCTGTGAACGTCCTGGGTGTCAGGTGTGAAGTTTCATACATAGACAAATCTATATCCCATGTAATAAATGTAATAAATATTCCATGTGTAATACCAGTCAATAAAATAAATGGTACATGAATGAATAAAACAAAAAAAGGAAAATGAATAACTACACTAAGTGTAATATAGAGTCAACATATGCGGATCGATCTCAGGGCCTGGGAACCGCCTGGCAGCTGAATTGACTAGAGGCTGCTGTGCTGGCAGTCACCCATTCATGAACTGAGCATTCTAGGCCCTGAGTTTAGATCCCAGCACTGCAAAAAATGTAATTGTGGAGTAAGAAGCCGAGCATGACAAGTTATTCTTTTCTTTGAAAGTGCTCGGTGTCAGTTAGGATATATAACTCATATGCAAATCTATATGCTATGTAATAGGATGTCATGAAGGTAAAAAATGTCATAGGTGGAAGAATTGTCACTACAATAAACGGAAAACAGATTGAATTAG